AAAGGTCTGTCACAGCCAAAAAATACACTCCAGACACGCCGCTGGCACTAGAGGCACAGCATGGCCGCGTAGTGACGGCCCCGACCACTGCCGCTCGACTTGACCGAAGAAAAACGTAGCAGGAAGCTAGCGAAGTCGTAGTATATACCGTCAAATAGAACTGCCTGGTAAACCGTAGGCAGAGAGGGAGAAGAGGACAACAAACGAGGGGCTGTGACAAACTGTTTCGTCGGAGTTTCATATATCCATATAAATATATACACATGTTAGGTCGGCGACCTCACAAGAGACAAGTGAGCAAAAATCGGGAATTGATTCGGTGTTCAACAAACACATGGTATTGATTCGGGGTTTACCATGCGCAGTGACGACTATAAGTTGCAAAGGGAATCGAGCAGCTTTATACAAACGATATCATGGCTATGGCGAAAGGTAATCGAGCTACGAAACGCGGATCGGCTATGGCGGACGGAGATGGAGGGTGAATAAAATATATCAGAACACGTGCGGTAGCGAAATAACAAAACCGGGAATTGATTCGGGGTTCAACATGCGGCAACTGCGGCGCTATAGCGTGCAAGAAGAGACAGGGCATCAGGGAATCTGTTCGGAGATCGGACACAGAATATGACGACTAAAATTACGGCATCTCACCTTCGTCGTGCGTTGCGGATATCGATGTACGACGACCAAACCAACTATGGTGGAGGGATATCGAGCTACGAAGAGCGAACCGGGTATGGGGAATGAAAATTCAGCCACAAAGAGCGAGCTACGAAGAGCGAACCGAACACAATGCGGCAACTGCAGTGTTGGCGGAAGGAAGTGGCAGAAGGAGCGAATCGAGCTATGAAGAGTGAACACACTATGGAGGAAGGAGGTGGTGGGTGAAGACAAACAACAGAAAAAATGTGGGAAAATTTCATCAAGTTTCCAACTCGGTCGCCGCGCCGGACCAGCATTGGAACGACGACAAATGCTGTGGCCAACCGTTGGAGCATCACCGTTTTATGTTTCCAACCGTTTGATCAACACGTGGCCGACGTGTTTCCAACATTTGTTCAACGTTGGTCCAACGTCTTTCCAACACGTTTCCAACACGTGTGTGTTGAAACAAAAGTGCTATCAGGTTCCCATCAGCGTTGTCACGCGGGGATCCCCGGGGCCCAAGCCGGGGTAGGGGTTTCAACCCCGGACCCCCGCCGCGGGGCTCCCCGACCCCCGCCCCCGC